TAGGTAGAACTGCTCCGTAGGGCCTTCTCAGCTGTAAGCTTTGTGGAAGTAGAGAGCCAGACCTTCTGCTACAGTGCTGCCAGTTGGGTTTGAACAGCCAACCTTTAGGCCAGTGCAAGCCAGCAATAAATAGTGCAAACCAGCTGCATCACCCAGGAACTCGAAAGTAAATAAATCTCCCCAAATCTGCCAGGTAATTTTCAGTAACACTTAAGTCAAGTTCAAGTATAACTAATGAATATACATCAAACACAAGTGAATAATTTATCCCTGGAGAATTGAGAGGAGACTTCCTCCAGGCCAGTAAATGGCAATTTACTTTTCAATCTAAAACAACCTGAAGGTTGACGGATTATCTACTCCTTGTTGGTAAACCTAGTCAGGTGGTGTAGCATAACAAGTACTTAAAAGTAATATGTAACTGGAATATTTGTGGCTGTTAAAATCCAGTTCTTAAAGAAAAATCCAGCTTTGAAATTTTATAATTAAGAATGTTGTAACATCACATTTTCAAATATTTATTTGAAATAATGGGAATTCAGTATAGAATAAATGAAGTCAGATTACGCTGACAACTTTTATATTCTAAAGATAGGTGAATGCAGGATAACTAGCTGCTGTTATGTTAGGTGTCATTCAGTCCATTCAGACTCATAACAATTCTTTGTACAACACAATAAAACATTACTAAGTGCTGCACCATCCTCATCATTGTTGCTGTGCTTGAACCCACTGTGGTAACCACTGTGTGAATCCATCTCGTTAAGGGGCTTCTTTCTCGCTGGCCCTCTATTTGACCGAGCATGATGTCCTTCTCCAAGGACTACTTAGTCCCTCCTGGTAACATGCCAAAGTACATGAGACAAATTCTTGCCATTCTCACTTCTAAGGAGCATCCTGGCTGTACTTCTTCCAAGACAGATTTGTTAGTTCTTCTGGTGGTCCATGATATATTCAATATTCTTTATCAATACCATAATTCAAATGCATCAATCCTTCTTCAGCCCTCCTTATTCACTGTCCAGCTTTTACATGCATATGAGGGTGACTGAACATACCACAGCTTGGGCCTTGTACATCTTACTCCTCAAGGTAACATCTTTGCTTTTTCAAACTTTGAATAAACATTTTGAAGCAGATTTGCCCAATGCAATACATTGTTTGATTTTCCGAGTGCTGTTTCCATGATCATTGATTGTGGATCCAAGTGAAATGAAAGCCACGACAACATCAATTTTTTTTTTTCCGTTTATCATGATGTTGCTTATTGGTCCAGTCTTGGGAGTTTTTCTTTTCTTTATGTTAAGCTATAATCAGTATTGAAGGCTATATCGTCTTCGATCCTCAATAGTAATTGCTTTAAGCCGTCTTCACTTTCAGCATCAAGGTTGTGTCATCTGCATGTTGCAGGTTGACAAAGAGCATCTGATGCTGCATTCTTCTTCATATGGTCCAGGTTCTCACATCATTTTCT